TAAGGTGCCCAGTTTTTTGTTGTTTTTTTTTTTTTATGTAAGGGTTTTTTAAATGTAATATACACGCATGAAAAAAATTAAAGGGTACACAGTGAAAGTCTCCTATTTATCCTGTTTCAGTTCCCACCCTTAGGCGGCCACTGTTCCTAGTTTTCTGGCTCCCCTCAGGGTTCTTGGATGCACACACTAATGGGTATGAATATATCCTTGCTCCTCCTGGCTCTTTTTCACCCCTGCACAAAAGAGTAAAATCATTCCTGGTTGGGAATGATGGGTTTCATTTTTTTATAGTTTTTTGTTATAATGTGCCACAGTATTCTTTTTAAAAAAATTTTTTTAATGTTTATTTATTTTTGAGAGAAAGAGAGACAGAATGTGAGTGGGGGAGGGGCAGAGCGAGGGGGAGACAGAGAATCTGAAGCATGCTCCAGGCTCTGAGCTGTCAGCATAGAGCCTGACACGGGGCTCGAACTCACGAACCATGAGATCATGACCGGAGCTGAAGTCGGACGCTCAACCAACTGAGCCACCCAGGCGCCCCCACAGAGTAGCGTTCGGATTGTGATGTTTCATTGCAGCTTTCTTTAGGTTTCCTACCTTGGCGCTCATTGAGCTTTACAGTTTTCTGAATACTTGGAAAAACTTCATCAGTTATTTCTTCAAATACATTTTCTCTGCTCCCTGTCCTCCTTCTGGGACTCTGATTACACGTACATTTTCTCACAACCACCTTAGAATATGTGTACTATTATTATCTTCACTTTGCAGATACGAAAATTAAGGCATATAGCGAGTAAGCAGACTTGCCCAGAGACCCTCAGTGAGTAAGCAGATGGTTCAGGATTTGAACCCAGACCCACCCCAGCATCTGGGGTCCCACTGCTTGGCCTTATTGCCATTGTCACATCTCTAGCAGTGAAAAGGCCACAGCTTACCTTTCTTGCTCTAGGGCTGGGCTCTGGAAAGGCTGGTCATAAACTTTCCTGTAGATACTGGGCAGCTCAAGCATCCTTGCAATTTGTATGTTGCACACTGGATCATCCACTTTATCTAACAAGCCATGGGGGAAAATATGCCAGAGAAATTATAATGAGATCAGGTCTTTCCCATGTCCAAATTGTTGCTAGGTGCCCAGGGGATCTCCTTCCCTATGTGTGCCCAGGGAGCATACATTCTAGATGCACTAAACGATTCCCCCTTATCCTTCGAGAGGGCATGCAATGCACTAAGCATCCCAGGCTTGGCCAGGAGCAGACTAGAACCAGGGAAAGTATGTTTGCTTTTTCACTCATCTGTTTCAATGGCAGACAACAGGGGCTAGCCTTGGGATTTCCAAACCAAAATCAACCAGAGCACTGCAAAGGGTATCACTTAGAGGATGTGGGACGATCATATTTCTCATCAGCTGTTTTCCTTCAAAGTTAATGGACTCAATGGTGTTTCAGAAATCTCCATCATTTTAAGGAATATGAACACTCTGCCCTAAATGGATTGACACTTAGAACTTCAAAGTACTTTATTATATTACCCAAATCAATTTGCCAGACATATATAATAAATCATTTATTTTCTTCCCCAATTTGTAGTTACCTCTCTTCAAAATAAAGTTAAGAAATGCTGCTTTTGTAAAGAAAGCATGTTATGAAATATAATTTCCCAGAGTTACATTTTTTAATCTGAACTTTTTAGGAGTTTGACTTTTAGCTAATCCAGAGTTTAGTAGCTAACCCACAGTTTACTGGACACACACCCAGAATAACAACCAATGTGGCAGAAATTACTTGAGCTTACAATAAGTAGTGACACGAATTTCTCGTTCTTCTCTGTATGTGTGGATATAACCTCTGATTTGGATAATGTCCCCAATTTCTATCTTTGTTCTCTGCTCAATGGTCTCTTGCAGCTTCTTAAGCTGTGAGGTTAAGTTCAGCTCCCCTATAGTTGGACCACCTGTCGTTAATAGGGCTAGAAGAAAAGAGACAAATGCATAACACAATCACTCCACCACATTTGTGAGGTAGTTTTGGGGAAAGACCAACATATCTATTCATTCTATTTCTGATTAGTTGCTCTACCGCACAAAATCTATGTAACCTTCTGAAGTCCTCTGCTGAATAGAAGGCGTAAGTTGTAATTATTCAGAAATAGGGTGGAAGGAAGGGAGTCTAGAAGGCCTGATAAATCCAAGTGGGTGAGTACTGGCGTGGCTCCGTTCTCACTCCTACCCCTGCATCGCCAGTGCAGTCAAAGGGCTCTACACGGTCCTGAGCTGAATTCTGTATGAGTTCAGCTGGGCTTGGTGGCAACAGCTCTAAACTCCTTAAAGCGTGCTTGCAGACTGGGGTGCCTCAGCCGAAGCATCTGACTTCGGCTCAGGTCATGATCTTGCCATTTGTGAATTTGAGCCATGTGTCGGGCTCTGTGCTGACAGTTTGGAGCTTGGAGTCTTCTTTGGATTCTGTCTCTCCTTCTTCTCTCTGCCCCTCCCCCCCCTCAAAAATAAACATCAAAAAAAAATTTAAAGTGTGCGTGCAGGAAGACAAGTCTGGCATAGAAGGCATAGGGCCCACGAGTCTTCATTTGCAGTTCTGTTTATGGGGAAGGCAAATGTGCCTCAGGCTGATTTCCCACCTAGGTGCTCAACACCCCAATCTCTCACTCTTACCTCTCATCTTTGTTGGGTAACTGGGGTAATCTCTCTCTCTCTCTGTCTCTCTCATACAACTGCATGGTGAAAAGAACCCAATGCACATTCAATTCTAAATACTTTCTATCACTTAAGTTTAATTTCAAATTGTAAGAGTTAAATAATAAGCATAGCCATGAATATTTGGGTACTGTAGGTGCTATTCTAAGAACTTTACAATGGATTAGCACATCTAATCCTCACAACTATACCTATTTATTATTAGCCCCATTTTATAGATGAAGAAACAGAGCCACAGAGGTCAAGCAACTTGCCCAAAGTAAAACAACTAGTTAGCAACCAAGCTGGAGTTTTAACTCCAGGAGTCTCTGACTCTAGTGCCTTCCTGCTATTCTTTATTCTCTGCTGCCTTCTCCTAAGTATACTCACATTTCCCAGTTACAGCTAGTGTGTGTGAACAATTCTGTGTTCTCATTTTCTGCCTGGCATAAGTTTAAATTCACACATATCCACAGAATCCACACAACTCTAGCATTTTAAATTATAATCAAGCATTCTGTCACGTTAATATGCCACAGTTCGTTTAGTCTCATTGAATATTTCATTCTCCCTTCCCTTGTATAATTTTTTATTTTGTTTTTTTTTTATCGCTAGCACTGGATGGGACCTAGAGGTCAACACTTGGGTAATGGAGTCAGACAGACCTGGCTGAAATCTCAGTTCATTTCTTAACTAGCTGTGGGACCTTGGGCAGGCTGCTTAACCTCACTGTGCCTCAGTTTCCTCAACTATGAAATGGGGATAACAATGGAGTCCACCTCATATACAGAGTTGTTATATATGATCTAAGTTAACCCTTCCATCATGAGCTTAGCACAATTTCAGATCCACAGGAAATATTCTATAAATGTCAACTATTTGTAAAAATGAACAATTAAGTCCTCTAGACAAAATTATACTGTTTTCTTTGGCGTCTTATTGGGAATTACTGGATAGGAAAGTAAAAACAGGTTTAAGTTCATTACATATTGTCAGAATGTTTGCCAGAAAAAAACAAACCATTCTCTTTTTACAAGGTGTCACCAGCACGCAAGCACATTTGTAGCTCCTATTCTGGCTTCACTTGTTTGGATGTTTACTACCTTAAAAAAATACGTGGTTCCATGATATTTCATTTTGCTTTTAAACTGCCAGACTTTTTGGGATGAGCACTGGGTGTTGTATGGAAACCAATTTGGCAATAAATTTCATATATTTAAAAATAAATAAATAAATAAATAAAATTTAAAAAATAAAAAAAAAAAAATAAACTGCCAGACAGGCTATTTTATATATATATATACATATATATATATATATATGTATATATATAAGATGCATATGTATATGTATGTATGTATATATATAAGATGATCTACTTATATATATATATAAGATTTATATATATATGTATATATATAAGATGATCTACTCGTATTTCTTTATGTACAGAAATCATCTTATACATTCAATATATTATTCATGTCTTTTGTATACTTTATGTTAACTTCTGAAAAACTGGGGGGGAAGCTTTATCAGTGTGCTGATTATATCCACCCCTCCGCATTCCACTGCTTTTCTATGCTTATTTGACTTTATTTTCCTTCATAAAGGTGTGAAAAGATCTTTAGCCTATCCCATTGTCACTGATGATAGTGTTTGGTGCTTTAACAGCTAGGGACTTAGGAGAGCTTAACATATATACCCCCATGTTCACGCAATAAATATATAACTTCATCTCCTTATGCCATGTAAGCTGAAAGACAGGGGTCGCAGTTACCTCTTTTGAAAATATTTTCCTCTATCTGAACCAATAACATTTGCTAAATGCTGACGTCTTTCCTGCTGTTGTCTTATTTTAGCTCTGTCATATATTAACGGTCCTATAATGAGTGAACAAATCTCTCTTTTAGCCTGGTGATCACATTTTCTGCTTTTTAATCTAATACAACTTAGAGAACTGTGGCTTTGTAAAGAGCAAAGGCATTACTTTTCTTGTAGCACATTGACTCTACCAAGGGAAACGGCAACCTCTAGAGCACAGAGCACTTTGTGTATCCAGTAACCAATACCTAGGAATCTAGACGCAATCAGCATTAATGTTACTTAGCTTACTGGGTTTCTTCAGAAAATACCCCAAGTATTACTTTTTAAAAGGTTATTCCATCTGTGTTCCTATTTCTCAAGCCCTCTTCTGCTTCAACTGAATTTAAAACACTTGATAACAAATGCTTCATGCAGCACTGCTGAAATAATCAGACTAACGGCTGGTCTGAGAATGAGGCCCAGCGTTCATTTCAATGGTGGGCCGAATTTCTGAAAGGGCTCACGCTCTGTAATTTAGTGAATGTAATGAGACGGCTGGAGCCTGACAGAATTTCATTTTAAAAAGCCTATTCCATCCTGGAAGATAAACCCCCTCTAAAATTCTAGTATCAAGGCCAAGCTTTCTTAACTTATCTCCAAAGTTAAGTCCAAATGGTGCACTCAACAGGACATTTATAGGAGTTAATATCATATTCTTATATACCTTAACGGGCTGGAACACGATTTTGACTCAGGCTAAATTTTGTTTAAAAAAATTAGTCTTCATTGGCCACTTTCCAGGGGAAAGCTTTTAAACTGAGGGCAATTAAATGAAAAGGAGAGAAGGGGCTAGTCCAGAACAACTGAAAAATATCTCTTCATATATAACGCGACGAGAATAATTTCCAGGTTTTTTTCCTTGTACTCATACCCTCTTGTTTTTATCCTCAAAGAAATTTCCAATTAAGGCTACCTGCTGTGACTGTTCATCTATTCATCTACTTAGAAATATTTTAAAAATTTCACTCAGTAGCCATTCTATCTTAAAAAATTACTATATAGGAGTTATATAATATTCCTGTATCATTCTTTAAAAAAAGAGTTGATTTTGAAAATTAAAACAATGTCCAAAACAGGAGTCTACAAGCTACAAGCCATGGGCAAAATCCACCCACAACTTGTTTCTGTAAATAAACTTTTATTGGAACCCAACCATGCCCATTCACCTATGTACTGTGTATGGCTGCTTCTGAGTTACAATGGCAGTATTGAATAGTTGAGGTTCAAAGCACATGGCCCACAAAGCAGAAAACATTTACTAGCTGACTCTGTACAGAAAAAGTCTGCCGCTCCATAGTCTGAAACGAGATTCTGACAACACAAAAACCATAAACCCGCAAGTGATTTTAATACCCTAGACATATATGCAAATTCAAATATCTGATTGTCTTATAGGTTTACTTCTTGCCTGTGAGGCAGCTGCATAAAAACCTGTTGTCTCTTTTAACTTTTATCTACAAAGCTTCCTCTTTTTTTTTGGAATGTTTTTATTTATCTTTGAGAGACAGAGAGCACGAGCAGGGGAGGGGCACAGAGGGGGGTGGACAGAGGATCCAAAGTGGGCTCTGCATTGACAGCAGGGAGTCTGATGTGGGGCTTGAACCCACAAACCGTGAGATCATGACTTGAGCCAAAGCTGGACACTCAACCAACTGAGCCACCCAGGCGCCCCATATCTACAAAGCTTCCTAAGCAAATTAGTGCCAATGGTTAAGATGTTCCCAAATTAGGAAATGGAATACTGAAGTTATATGAAACTGATGGCCATATTCCAAACGTAAATATGTCAGAAAGTTAAGCAAAGGAGCATTCCACTGGTTGGGACAGTCAAACTAGGAAGCTGAGATTTGGACAGGTGACGGCAAAGAGGAAAGGCACCACGCATCACTGAAGGAGACAGATGCCAGAAGTTAGATGTTATAGCAGGCAATATTTAGTGATAACCCCACTGTATACGGCACCATGCCGTGTATGTTATAAAACAGAAAAACAAGGTCCCAGTTTCTGTAGCTCCTCTAGAACCAAAAATGATCATCAGTTCTGCCTACCATTTTTTGATATTATAAACTTAACTTAAAAAACAAGTAAGAACTATTAAAATATACTCAAGGAATTCCAAATGGTATTTCAGTTACAGTCAATGTGTTCAATATATGATTTTAAAGTTTCTTTTCAGTTTATATAATTGAGCTAACTTCAAAGGAATTCTATCTTACCTTCTCATCAACGTTAGAATTCCTGGTATATTTGAGATTTCAGAAAATCTGGTCATGGCAGCACAGAGTTAGTGGCAATCATGTACGAGGAAAAGTCTTCAAAATCTTCTTTGGTTAAGGGATATGCCTGGAGCAAGGGGGTTCTGACCTGACTGGCAAATAAGCTAAAACATCTCGACTCACGTAATAGCTGCCACGGTAAAAATGAAACGCTGGAATTCCCAGCAGCCACGTCACACTCCTGCAGGCTCAGGAGGAAGTGAGCACTAAAGAGAAGGGAGAAACAAACACAACTAGCTCTTCTAGGATATTAGTCTGCACAGTAGCCAGAGCTCCGGGCACAGTGCTTCGAGCTGATCAACAGAATTCACCAGCGGATAAATGTGAAAATTTAACCCTACAGCTGTTGTGATGAACCACCTTGAGTAAAAACCATTGGTTAGCTGAAAAGTAAACCAGTGTGTCACATAAAAGTACCTGAGGAAGACTCGGTATTGTTCGACTTTTTCCAGCAGATGCAGTTTATAACTCCAGTGCTGTCATCCACTGCAAGAGAAGCATAAAACGGTAGAAGAGAGATCTGGGCACTGCTAGTGAATCAGTACACCAACACTGGATTTTGCCATACCAAAAAATGACATTTTTCAATAGCCTGCTTGGTCAAACCCTTATAAAACTCTCCTACTTAAAAAAAAACTTTTTAAAATATTTATTTATTTTTCAGAGACAGAGAGAGACAGAGCATGAACAGGGGAGGGGCAGAGTGAGAGGGAGACACAGATTCTGACGCAGGCTCCAGGCTCTGAGCTGTCAGCACAGAGCCCAATGTGGGGCTCGAACCCACGAACAGCGAGATCATCACCTGAGCCGAAGTCGGACGCTTAACCGACTGAGCCACCCAGGTGCCCCTCCTTCTATTTTTAGAAGTAACCTCTCACAGTATGCCAAGGAGTTAAAACTGCTTGTCTGCACATGCTGATGTAAAACACGATCCTAACAGGATGTAGTCAACATTTCACTTCCCCTGCCTCAAGGGTACTGATGATTAATGATTTTAAGTTTATTTATTTTGAGAGAGAGGGAGAGAGAAAGAGAGAGAGAGAGAAAGAGAACACGTGCACACAAGCGGTGGGAGGGGCAGAGAGAAGGAGACACAGAATCCCAAGCGGGCTCTGTGCCAACAGTGCATAGCCTGATGTAGGGCTTGAACCCAGGAACAGTGAGATCATGAGCTGAGCCGTAGTTGGACGCTTAACCAATTGAGCCACTCAGGTGCTCCAAGGGTACTGCTGATTCTTGACCACACCTCTCCTAAAAATGGGGTCCTCAGGAAGTTAAGTACAAAAATCTCAATGAACGCAACATGCAAAAGCGGCCTTGCTCTCCCACGGTGAAACAAGGCAGCGCTGACATGGTCTGTGGTGAGAGGCACTTAGAGGGTAGCCTTCTTCTCTCACCATTTGCTCTCTCATGAGCTCTATGATTTACCAAGACAGACCACCCCAAATATTCTGACATGGACTTCTCTTTGTGAACAAACTTCTGCCCAGTCCTTAACACTGCAGGGGATGTAAGGAAAGCCAAGTATATTGCAGAAGGGCAAAGTTTTATTTTCATAATGGCAAATAATTCTATCTTGTTCACATAAATAATTTTGGCTTATTTTATCCTTAATGAAACACACACACACACACACACACACACACACACACACACACACACACACAGAATTCCCACTGCACTTGAATTTATAACTGCAGAGAAACTGGAAATGCTGGCTATGGGATGACAGGTGTTTCCTCTTCGTCTAATTTCTGAAAAACTCAGAAAAGAGATCAGTGGGCTTAATGATTTTCTAGAAAATCACCAGCAAGGCTGTTATAAAAGCCCATGTAATATAGAACATAATGCAAATTTTTTTATTGCTGGTTTAAATCTGTGTTGAAAGCAGAAGCCAAGAATACTTCTTATATGAAAATAAATTCTGGATGGATTTTATTAAATGTAAAACAGGTGAACTTAAAATGATGAGAAGAAAATATGGGTAAATACTTTTGAACTTTGTGCTTATAGTTGGTGGGGGAATTCTTTAAGCAAACCTGAAAATCAGAACTCATTTTTAAAGGTCTGATATATATGACCAACTAATAATTAATACTGTACAGCAATTTTCCAAATGATAGGGCTAGTGTCTTAATATATAAGGAGCTCATACAAATGAATAAAGAACAAGACCACCAGAGAAAAAATGGCAAAAAAAAAGAATATGCAATTCACAGAAGATATAAAAATGGCCAATAAATGTGTCAGTACACTAAATTCATTAGTTACCAGAAAAAGAACAAACATAATGTCTCAATTACTAGAATAACAAATATTAAAAAATACTGATACCCTTGCTGTTTCAAAGAAACACATGCACCCCAATGTTTATAGCAGCACTATCAACAATAGCCAAAGTATGGAAAGAGCCCAAATGTCCATCGATGGATGAGTGGATAAAGAAGATGTGGTATATATATACTATGGAGTATTACTCGGCAATCAAAAAGAATGAAATCTTGCCATTTGCAACTACGTGGATGGAACTAGAAGGTATTATGCTGCTAAGCAAAATTAGTAAGTCAGAGAAAGATAAACATCATATGACTTCGCTCATATGAGGACTTTAAGACACAGAATGGATGAACATAAGGGAAGGGAAGCAAAAATAATATAAAAACAGGGAGAGGAACAAAACATAAGAGACTCTTAAATATGGAGAACAAACAGAGGGTTACTGGAGGGGTTGTAGAAGGGGGGATGGGCTAAATGGGTAAGGGGCATTAAGGAATCTACTCCTGAAATCATTGTTGCACTATATGCTAACTAATTTGGATGTAAATTAAAAAAAATTGTTTTTAAATACTGATATACCCTCACATTCTGTTAGTGGAAGTGTAAATTCATATCAAATTTCTAAAGAGCAAGTTAGGAAACCAGTTGAATTTTTAAATGTATATATCCTCTGACTTAGTGATTACTTCTGGAAATTTATCCTGGGGAGAAAAACAGAGTAAGTACCCAGATTTATACATCTTGTATAAGGCCGTTTGTTGCAACATTGTTTATAATACTGGAAGTTGGGTGGCTCAGTCAGTTGAGCGACCAACTTCGCTCAGGTCATGATCTCACAGTTTGTGGGTTCAGGCCCCTCATTGGGTTCTGCCCTGGCAGCTTAGGTGGGGTTCTGTGCTGGGAGCTCAGAGCCTGGAGCCTGCTTCGGAATCTGTGTCTCCTTCTCTCTCTCTGCCTCTCCCCGGCTTGCACTCTCTCTCTCAAAAATGAAAAAACATTAAAAAAAAAATTTTTTTTAATGAATTACAATGGCATAGCATATGGAGGTAAAAAGTTATAATGAAGATTTATGTTCACTGCTGTTAAAAGATATCCATGCCTCATTTTAGCAAAGAAATCTTATATAATATTTTTTTAAGTTTATTTATTATTTTGTGAGAGATAGAACACAATAGGGGGAGGGGCAGAGAGGGAGAGAGAATCCCAAGCAGGTTCTGTGCAGCCAGCATGAGCCTGATGTGGGGCTCAAACTCATGAAACCCTGAGATCAGGACATAAGCTGAAATCAAGAGTCGCAGATGCACAACTAACTGAGCCACCCAAGAGCCCCAAGAAATCTCATATATAATCTAATTCACATAAAATGTTAAACAGTGTACCTTGACAGAAATTATTTTAAGACTTTAAAATGATAATAGCAGTTTCTTTTGGAGCATAGGAAAGGGACTCCACGTTGAACGTACATGCTCACTGTAAGCCTCATTTCAGAAATATTGAGAGAGGAATATGCATAACAGCTCAAGGAAATAAGACATATATATATTTCTCCAATATTAGGAACATGTAAAACTATTAGGAAGGATGTTCACCAAACATTGACATTGTTTTCATCTTACTTATAGGGTTTTACATGACTTTAATGTACTTCAGTAAAATTTAGTCTAATTTGAAATTTTATTTTATAATGAATATCATCTTAAAATAAATCAATAAGGAAATTCTGAATTAAAAAATTGTTTGACACCTCTAGGCACACTACTTCTCTGGCCAGTGACAAATCTTGGTTTATCATGTAGTGTAAAAAATATTAGCACATGAACATTTGTTCTAGGAGGTGTGAGGACACTGACTGCAGCCTCTCCAGGACTCTTGGTCTGAACTTAAACTACTGCCAAGTGCTCTGGGCACTGCCACCAAACCCTCTGACCTTCTGGTTTGTAACCTCTCCTGGAGGGTGCTGCTCCCCGGCAGTGTAAGGTCTGGCTGCTGGAATGCCCTGGTAGGGGAGCCCCCTTGCAGTGCTGCACAACGTGCTCCCCCATTCGCCTGGGTCGCTGGCCTTTTGTTTCAGCAGTGGAATGAGTCAGCGACAGCAGGAAACACCCCCAGCACAGGCCTGTAGTGAGTCAGGTGGAGCAGGACCCAGTACAGCAGGGAGTGGCCGCCTGGCAGGTGGCCCAAAAGCCAAGATGGCCCTAGGACAGCAGGGAGGGTGCAGCTCTCCCTCAAACAGGCCTCACAAGAGTTAAAGTCACAAAAGCATTTCTACTCTCAGTTACCTCAACCCTCAGATGCTTTTCATTTTCCCATAGCCCACAGATGGGTCCTGTTCTTGCAACATTCATTCTAAAGAAACTGTTTACTGGGGAAGAGTCAAACATATCACCTTCATCTTGTTTTAAACTCCAGACCTCTACATAGTTTCCATCCCAGACCCCATGAGAAGGGGAGGAGCTTGGGAAGCCCAACCTATCCTAACAATAAAGCATGTTGTACCCAGCAAAAACAAAAACAAAAAAAGCAGATGAAGTTGGTTTTTGGGGGGAGGGTGAGCTGATGGGGGAGAGAAAAATCAAATTGAGTTATATGGAGATATATGGCTCACTGGAGTCAGTAAATAGATTGGATCTATAAATCTCCATCAGTGGAACCCTGAGCAAATGACTGGACCTTATTTTTCTCATCTCCAAAACGGAAAGAACGTCTGTCCTTACTATTTCAAACGATTAGGGGGAGAATAACACCATGTACGTGAAAGTGCTTTGTAAACTGAAACTACCATTTCATCACTGATATTTGGAGAGGTAGTACTTCATTATACTACAGAAAATGTACTTGCCCACAGCTGAGTATGCTGTAGGAAATTGGTGGATATTTGTTGAATTGTCTGGAGAAAAACAGAACGAATACCTTTGGTAAAATAAAGGAGAGAAGAGATCCAATATGGGGATGCCTGACAAGACGATCTATTTTAAAGTTTAAAATATATATATATATGCTGGGCAAAAGCAGAGGGCATAAGGAAACTCATCTCTCACATGTTATTTTATAAGCAGGAGACTGTCACATTCAGGGAAATGAATACCTGTTGAAGAAAGGCAATGATATTGTATCTATACATTAGCTACCATACACAGACTGCCAGTGAAATGGTGGCAGTCAACTTGTTCAACTGCCTTCTGTCTCTCCACAAGGAGAGCAGGAACACAAATCCAAGGCAGCACACCAGAAAGCAACAACGTCAATTACAGCAAAGATTTGGAATCCGAAGTTAAGCTTCCCACTAAATATCTAGGTTGGCCTCCTAGCTGCAGAGACTCTGAGAGTTGCACAAGGCAACAGATGTAAATGCTTACATTAAACTCAATGAAAAAAAATCAAGACCCACGACACTAATTGCTGCTGTCCAAACTACAGAAATCCTTCATTTGGTTTCCAACATCATGAGGGGAGGGAAATTTTATGGTAACAGATATTCACCCCTGAGTACCAAAAGGCTTTTATTAAGAAAAGATTTATTTTCAAGTAATTTCCATGCCCAACATGGGGCTTGAACCCACAACCCCGAAATCAAGAGTCACATGCTCCATCGACTGAGCCAGCCAGGCACCTCCCCAAGAGACTTTTTAAAAATACTGTTCTGGGGGCACCTGGGTGGCTCAGTCAGTTGAGCATCCAACTTCAGCCCAGGTCATGATCTCAAGGTTCATGAATTTGAGCCCCACATCGGGCTTGCTGCTGTCAGCCTGTCATCACAGGGCCTGCTTCGGATCATTTGACCCCCCACTCTCCCTCTGCCCCTCCCCTGCTTACGATCTCTCTTTCAAAAAATAAAACATTAAAAAAAATACTGTTCTGGATACAAATCTTATTATTTTTATACTTATCTTCTTAAAGAGTCTATTTTAACATTAATCTGGCCTTTTTTATTTTTAAAGATACCAATATAAACATTTGTTACCATCCTTTGCCATTTATAGCTATGCTCTCAGGTATCAGGTATCTAACCTTGATCATCCAGAGATCCTAGACTGTCATATTTTAATTCTTCCACCTCCAAACTCCCCATCAGCTGTCACGTGAAAGTATGCATCAGTGTCATTCTTACTTTTTGCATCACTTTACACTTGGTCCATGTCAGTGGCCCCAAGGGGCTCCTAATAAAGGACAAGTGCATGGGCTCTGTGAGAGTCCCCAGCTGCTCTGAAAGGCTAGGGTTGCTTGATATTCAGTGTTCCACTAAGTGGGGTCCTTTCACATAAACTCAGTGTTGGGCACAATTGTTCTTACCTCCATAGCTGTAGAAAGTATCCTTTTCTCTTCTTCCAATTACAGTTCCCAAGATCTCCACCTGTTTTATTGGATGCCCATTGTAAAAAAATACTCCTGAAATTAAAAAAAAAAAAAAAAAAAAAAAAAAAATCAACCCTTGACAAATGGCAAGCCCCAAGAAATTCAAATGTCTTTTCCTTAAGGGTTCTAAGTAGAAAGTTTGGCTTTACTGAAGCCTGTACAAATGTAGAAAAGAGAAAACCAATGTTGCCCAACTAGATCTGGTTAATCTTCTTTCCACTTGTGAAAATGAAATGTGCATCCTTGTGGACCTCTCACAAGGGGCCTGAAAACAGTATATTATGAGACCAAATCTATTTGGAGAGGCTATAAAGGAAAAGAGAGGAAATCACAAGAAAGGCTTCTTTGGCTTTTTTACTTGAGCTTTTCTAGGCAGCCAGTCATCATTTATATGAATTAGCAGCAGCTTTTTATTTTTTTAAATATTTTTAATGTTTATTTATATTTGAGACGGGGGGGAGGGGCAGAGAAAGAGGGAGACACAGAATCCAAAGCAGGCTCCAGACTCTGAGCTGTCAGCACAGAGCCCAAGTGGGGCTCGAACTCGCAAACCGTGAGATCATGACCTGAGCCAAAGTCTGACATTTAACTGACTGAGCCACCCAGGCGTCCACCCCCACTTTCTTTTTCAAAGAGAAGATAATCAGGTTACAAAATGCTGCCTTTGGGGCCAGATTATAATTCAAAAACTTCTCTTCTTAAAACTGTTTTCAAAACCCAGAGAACAGATGCCAACGGGCAGCTTCCTGCCAGAGGAGAGACCTGAGAAGACAAATCATACGCTAACACCTGGAGGCCTTTTGTGGACTCTGGAAGGGTTGTAGAGGGACTCCTGGCTGCATTGAGTCCCTGATTCCCACCCAAGGTCCCAGAGCTGTCCTGGCTCCTGCAGAGCTTCCTGTCTGCGCACCCCCAACATCCTAACCTAACTCCCTATTCTGGCTTAAGCTACTGGCATGTGCATGTGTCTCCTACAGCTAACGAAATCCAAACTAAAACCTCCAGCTTGTCCTTTTTCCCACCATGATGGCTGAATTCTTTAGTTTTAGAAAGAGGCTATAAACATTTAAATGGCCATTTCCTTTTAAAATAAAGATATGAGGGGCGCCCGGGTGGCTCAGTCAGTTAGATGTCCGACTTCGGCTCAGGTCATGATCTCGCAGTTCGTGGGTTCAAGCCCCACATCGGGCTCTGTGCTGACAGCTCAGAGCCTGGAGCCTGCTCCAGATTATGTGTCTCCCTCTCTCTCTCAAAAATAAAGATTAAAAAACAAATTTTTAAAAATAAATAAATAAATAAATAGATAGATAGATAGATAAAGATATTAATTGTAAACAAAGAAACATTCACCAATGTAGGCATCTGACCACCTCCTCCCTCCCCACCAAGCCTGGACAGAGCCTCTCTTCTCCACACCTATAGGGCTGGGCAGCAGGACGGCCCAAACCCTGAAGCCCTTCAAAACCTCCAGACTGGCATCCACTGACAGCTCTCGTTTCCCATGTGGATAAAGGGGCTGGGGATGAGATACTCATGGAGAGTCCCAGAGGATGGACAAGGAGGCTCTAAGCCTCAATCAGCTAGAGATCCTAGAAGGGTGAGATGTGGTTGGAAGGAAAACATGGTGGCAAATTTAGCCAAAAGAAGGCCCTCTCCCTGGCAGAGCATCCTTCTCAAGATGACTTAGTGGATTAGAGACCATGCCCAGGGCAACAAATGGGGGCCATGAGCTGAAATGGCAAGGCTACACAAGGGAAAGAGCCCGAGTCACTGTGTCATTCCCAAGGAGAGTCACCCCCTTCCAGGGACACTTGGGTTGAATGGGGACAAACTGGTTCCACAGAAAATCCACGACATTTCAAGTGCAGGATACTTACAATCAACTTCTCCTGAGTTCTTACGATTGATATCTAGGCCCCTTAGTTACCACCTTTGGTGAGACCTTTGGGGCCTCTGCCCCTGCCTGCCTGCACTGACCAAACACAAAGGGCAAGCTCAGAGGAGGGAGAGCCCTGCAGGACCTCTGCAGGCAAGCTCAGACTTCCTGTGGCAGAAGAAAGTTTAAATCAGGAGAATGAGCCTCACCTATGGATATGGGCATGGAGTCCTGTCCTGGAGCGCACCCCAACACCGTGCCCTGACATGCTTGTGTGCAGAGAAGAGCTACGGCATGGCCTCCTTTGGTTTGCTGCAGAGCCAGGTGGGGCTTAGAGTGGCTTGAACTCCAGGCTGCTCTCTGGCTGCAGCCAGCACTTTCTGCTTCCCCAAATGCATTGTACAGGTAATAGCACTTTCTATCTGTGTCCTGAGCAGAGCCAGGTTGGAACCGTTCTCTGAACGTGACTGGTCTTCCCCTATCCCAGCTCAAAGATGGTCTGTCCTGGGATTGGTTTGCATTAGAGACAGCACACTCCACAGGAATCCATGTGTCAGTTGTGGCCCCAGGACCACAAAATAGGAGGAGGCAGAACTGTGGAGACCTCTGGACCCATTGGAGGATCCACTGTCTGTCCCTGAAATATCTTTCCAGCTGGTCCTAGAGCCACTATGGGGTGCTTCACTGGTGATGTCTGAAAGCCTGAGACAGTCCCAGGCCTCTGTGGGTTTCCCTGGACACCCTGGTATGTGCTGCTATGGTGGTTTTTATAGTAAAGAGCTGACACACTTTAAGAGTGGGAAAAGAGCTAACCAAAATGTATTCTGCCTACGCTGAAACATACAAAAAAGGTGGTAACAAGACTGGACTAATGACACAAGCCAGGGAAGTCTTCAAGTCACCTGTGATGGAGGCTAATCCTCCAGTGTTGCAAACTATGCTGCGCCACTCAATAAAAATCTGAACAGGTCTTCACTTGAGGACACAACAGACTTTCTCAAGAAAGCACAGGAAAGAGAGACCCCTAAACTTTTATCTCCTAGACTGACAATGGTCACCTTCAAGGACAGACCTAGTCACTCCAAGGTGCAAACAATCCTTCCAATCTTAAGTGATTGACGCAATAAACATCTTAAAAGCATCACAGAACAACAGAGAACCAATTTAAAAGAAAATAACACATGGGTTGAATCAAAACACTCAGAGAAAATCAACTGAGGAGGAAACACGCTGCTTGGAAACAGAGAAGACACTTCCCAGAGTGTATGGAATCATGAGCACCACATATCAGAAGCACAACCTACAAGAAGATGGCAGAAGACATGGAAAAGAATTGGGAGAGAACTTCCTTCTATCAAAACAAGATTCTCTTCTAGGACAAAAGGGCTCAATAAAAGTTGGATGGCAGCTCTGCTGACCGAAAGAAAGCTCAGTAAGCCAAGAAAAGAAAATAACCAAGACGACGGATACTGGCTTATGTGGAGTTTAGGCTGCAACCCCAAGTGTTTCTGCTCCTGCTGCCTTTGTTCCACATGCAGCCCAAGGAGGCACAAACATATCAGGGGGAATCATCTGGATCATCAGGGCTGCAGGAAGGAGGAGGGTCAAGCCAGGAGGGTTCAGGGATCTGGAATCACACAGGCAGGCTTGATTCAGCTTTCACAGTAGCCAACCCCCAAACAGCCACCACTCCAGCAAGACAGTTGTCTGTTTTCTCTCTTTTAAAAATATATTTGATTTACCTCTTTTTAGTCTAACTGCTGTTATTTAATTGATGTATGAATGCATTCAAATACCTAAGATACTATCTGTTATTAATTTTTAATTTTATTTTAGAAAGGGGGGGTGGGGGCACAAGGAGAGAGCGCGAGACAATCTTAAGCTCAGCAGGGCTCAATCCCATGACCCTGGGATCCTGACCTGAGCTAAAATCAAGATCAGATGTTCAACTGACTGAGCCATCCAGGTGCCCGATAAGATGCTATTTTTAGTATAATTCTTATGAATACACTATTTCCACTTCATTGGACCCTCAAGAATTAGATAATATAAGTACTGTATTTTGATTTAAGCAACATTCACTATATCCCATTATTAAAGTCTGACATGGATATTTAGAATAATAAAGACAATTTCTTTATGCTATAAAAAAAAAGATGCAGCAAAAAAGACCCCAAAACCTATAAACACCACCACCACCACCACAAACTTTGTAACATTTTTTTCTTAACATTTTGTATTAGTTTAACCCTAAATTCACAGAGTTGACATTTTGCAACCATTTTACAAGGCAATTCTGATGGCAAATAAGCAGAATAAGGTCAAATTTCAAGTCAAGGTCACAGTCTCCCACAAGACTGCTCTTTCTTCAGTCACTGACCCTAAATTTGGGGGTTCTCAGGCCACCCACACTTCTGACCAAAGCACTACAAATTAGGGGTTCCTGTAACTCACTCAGCTTTGATAATCTGCTAGAATGGCACACAACTCAGGAAGGTGCTAGACCTATGACTGTAGTTTCTTAGTAAAGGGTACAAATTAGGACTATCTAAATAAAGAGAGGCATAGGACAAGGTCTGGGAAGGTCCAAGCACAAAGCTTCCATATCCACAGAACACATCACCCTCCCGATAAATCAATGTATGATTACCAACCAGGAAAATTCACCTGAGCCTCAGTGTCCAGAGTTTTTACTCGAGTTTCAGTATGCAGGCAAGACTCAATCCTTGGCCACACAACAACTCAATCTCCAGCCCCTCTCCCTTCCCAAGGGGTTGGGCTGATGTCACCCAGCTGGAAATCCCAGCCCTCTCCGATCACACGGTTGTTCTTTCAGGCATGGACAACCCCCATCCTCAAACCAAACCAAAAACAACACAGAAGTAAAAACCTAGACTAGACTAGGGGAATTTCCCACCCTTAGGGCCCTACAGTATAATCTAGAGAGTACTACTCTTGTGAAATTATGGTTGGTGTCTGCTTCAACCATGAAGTTTCATTTTAAAAACAAGAGTAGGCAGTTAGTTCGGTTTTTAACAGGATGCCTGGAGGCCAGCTATCAGGAAATTTAGATACCGGTCCGCGGCAACACTCCAAAACCAAAGCCACCAGAAGCTGGATCAAAACAGACAGACCCCAGGCAAAGAAGGCCAGAAACCCTGATCAAGTAAGGGAGAAAAGGCATGAAACCCTGCTCACAAAAATATCCCTCCCAAAGTAATAAATTTTCCACCCCCTAACAACTGTCAATACAAGACACAAACCCAAAACCCCAGGCACAGCTCTCCACTGAGTTAGCCTGTTCTCACATCTCACTTTAATAAACTTTCCCACTTGCACTGCTCAACCATGTGTTTGGTCTCTCCTTGAATTCTTCCTTGCTAGGAGACAAAGAGCCTCTGGCAACATCCCTGGGAAGGACTGGGTGAAGGCACAGGGCCCGGGGGAGTGGTGAGGGGGGGTTTCCCCAGTCCACCTGGCAACAAAATCACATCTGGAACAGTATTACCAGTGACATAGCAAAGACCATCAGGATCAGTTTTCCTTGGTTTGTTGTTAATACATCGTAAAGTCCTTCAGCCACAAGAAGCGTTAAGCCCCTAGCATGCCCTGATATTTCCTTGAGCATCTACAGAAGACCTTTCTTTCAAATGCAAGGCTGGCATTTGGTGTGAAATTGCTTTCTTCCTGAGTTGAGCTATGAAGAATACCGGCCTGTTCTGGAAAATGGACAACTGTGGGGGAGGACGGCTGCCTTCCAAGGAAAAACAAAAAACAAAAAACAGACAATCTCCAACAATAATAGGAAACCAAGGTGTGGTGAAAAATATGCACAAAAGGCTTTAAAATAAGGCCATCCAAATATATTTGTACATAGAACTGGAAACACACAAAACATCCTCTCATTAGAACTGTACATACTTGAGATTCTTGACTATTTCTGACTCACAGCTTGCTATTTGTTCAAAACAGCAAAGAGTTTAACCAAACTTCTCATATAACATAGTAAACATGTGAAGACCCATGCACAGCTAAGTGCATTATTTAAATCTACCTCAAATTATATTTGTTATGTCTTAGGTATGAAGAACCTATCTTTATTCTACCACTTTAAAAAAAGTGATTTCTTTAACTTTACATTTTTAATACTTTTTTTGCCCCAATTACTATTTCTTTGAGGGACCACTACATTCCTGGCACTGTTTTAAGCACTGTAATTACATAGGTGTATAAAGCAGATCACATCTTTCCTCTCAAGGAGTTTATACAACTTGGTTCTGATTAAGTGAAAACAAAACAAAACCCCACAAGAAAGTCAGGCCTGGTTAATCCCTATTTTTACAAAGAAGACACCTAACCTTTACAGGTGAGTCACATGCCCAGGCCAGTTAAGAGGCGCAGTTGAGAAAGAGAACAAAGCCTAGAGATGCCTGGTCCAGTGAGCTTTCCACCAAGAGCTGTCCCAAAGAAAAACTACTGAGCCTGTTATAATATGAGAGATCTCAACTGCAGACAAAAACATTCCTCAGTACAAAGGTTACTTCCCCAAGCATTTATTTTAAGAAATAAAATTGAGATTTAGACTTTTTAACTTGCATAGAAATGAACTAATTTGAGAGTCCACGCTAGGTCATTTTCCCAGTCTGCAGGAGGCAAGGCTCTCCTGAAAGCCGCTAAGCCCCTAGCATTCTGCAGCTTTGAAGAAGGCTGGGGTGCAGGTGCAGCACAGGGCATCCTCCAGGCCCACCAGCCACATACCTGGTACCTGGCAGGACTCCTTCAAGTCCAGGATATCCCTGATGTAGAGTTTTGCAAAGGCTAGAAACACAGGATCCAAACCCCACAAGAGGGAAGGGGTCTCCTCTTCAGGTCTGCTGGATTCAGACTCCATCGGGAGGCTGGGCTTTGGCTTCCAGCCAACCCTGAAAGGCTCTGCGTCACTGAATCGATCTAGATAGGAGACAGAAAAAATCAGGATGCAAAGCGTTTAAAGTGGGTGAAATTGGCATGGCCCCGAAGCTGCTCCCGGGCGGGCATCCAGGACTCCGGTAGGGATAAATAAACCCAGGGGTCCGGGGCCTGTCCAAGCCAGGGGCCTAGAGGAAAGAGGCGCTCCTTGGGTGAGGGCCTGTACGTTCATTATGGTTCTCTCTCTGGAATCTCCTCTGCCCCACGGGAGTATTTCTCCTTCCCCCGAAGTACCAACTTCAAAACGGCTAAACGCTAACTTTTCACTTCGGGGAGCTATCCATACAGGCGTACCCTGAAACCGCTTTAATGGGCGGGGTCCAAGAGGAATGGGCGCCCACGTGGCCAAACACCAGGGGGGTCAGAAGGGGTGGATCTGTGCGTCGCCCTGCCCCTACACCTTCCGGTTCGGGGATACACTGAGGAAGGGAGGAAAACGGAAACGAAAAGCAGACCCGCTCCAAGCCCCTCCCGCCGTGTCGCGACGCTGGCCCCCGGCCCCCTGCCCTGAGGAGCGCGCAGGCCCGGCCCTTCCGGGCGCTCGAAGGCCTCGGGCGCCAAAGCCCCGCCCAGCGCAGAAGCGCCAGGCCCAGGTCTTCTTAGCAGGCGCGGGGGCAGGACACATCTCCCGACTTTCCACCCACCCACCTCTCCCCACCTGAGCCTTCCCTCTCGACTGCCGGAGTTTCGCCAGGGCTCCGCCCCGCCCCGACCGCGGCCCCGCCTCATTCCAACGGGGCCCCGCCCCAATCTCTCAGCAGGTGGCGAGCCTGCCTAGCGTGTTTGGCTCAGGCAGTGCTCTGGTCCCTCCATCCGCGCGTTCTCCATGGGCTTCCGCTGGAGCGCGCAGCCCAAATCTCTGAGGCCTGGGAGCTGGCTCTGCAATTCCTGCTGCCCGAACCCCATCCTCCAAGTCTCCCTTTCAAGCCGTCTCCCGTTAGTGGTAGGACGATGAGTCAGGACCACCAAGACGTTGGGACTGGTTTGGGGGGCACGGGGTTTTTTCCTGATATATTAAATGAACAAATAAAAAACGCAATACCGAGAGCGGGACTACATTGTGGTATATTTTAAATGTTTACTTACACTTGGTGAGTGATCTACTAACACACACACACGATATTGGGACTCTACTCACATTGGAGATAATGTCAGTATCTAAATGTGAGACCTTGAGTGAATGTGAAGTCTTGGCTCTAACCAAGGCTAGCCTTACAAGATCATGGCAATAAATTTTGTCTTCTTTCCTCTTATTCAGTGTATTCTCTGGAATGTTGTACACTTAAGAATTTTGAAATACTGGCATTTTGGTAAATCATGGCTACCTTGATGGTGCTTGTCCCCATTGGCCCTAATTTCAGGTGAGAAAAGAGATAAAGGGGGGCGCCTGGGTGGCGCAGTCGGTTAAGCGTCCGACTTCAGCCAGGTCACGATCTCGCGGTCCGTGAGTTCGAGCCCCGCGTCGGGCTCTGGGCTGATGGCTCAGAGCCTGGAGCCTGTTTCCGATTCTGTGTCTCCCTCTCTCTCTGCCCCTCCCCCGTTCATGCTCTGTCTCTCTCTGTCCCAAAAATAAATAAACGTTGAAAAAAAATTAAAAAAAAAAAAAAAAGAAAAGAAAAGAGATAAAGGGCATCCAGATTGGCAAGGAAGAATTCAAACTTTCACTCTTTGCAGAGGACATGATACTCTATATGGGAAACCCAAAAGACTCCACCAAAAAACTGCTAGAACTGATACATGAATTCAGCAAAGTCACAGGATATAAAACCAACATACAGAAATCAGTTGCATTTCTCTACACCAATAATGAAGCAGAAGAAAGAGAAATCAAAGAATCAATCCCATTTACAACTGCACTGAAAACCATAAAATACATAGGAATAAACCTAACCAAAGAAGTCAAGGATCTGTATGCTGAAAACTATAGAAAGCTTATGAAAGAAATGGAAGAAAATACAAAGAAATGGAAAAACATTCCATGCTTCTGGATTGGAAGAACAAATATTGTTAAAATGTTGACACTACCCAAAACAATCTACACAGTCAATGCAATCCCTATCAAAATGACACCAGTATTCTTCACAAAGCTGGAACAACCAATTTTAAAATTTGTATGGAACCATAAAAGACTCCAAATAGCCAAAGTAATGTTAAGAAAGAAAACCAGGGGCGCCTGGGTGGCGCAGTCGGTTAAGCGTCCGACTTCAGCCAGGTCACGATCTCGCAGTCCGTGAGTTCGAGCCCCGCGTCGGGCTCTGGGCTGATGGCTCGGAGCCTGGAGCCTGTTTCCGATTCTGTGTCTCCCTCTCTCTCTGCCCCTCCCCCGTTCATGCTCTGTCTCTCTCTGTCCCAAAAATAAATAAACGTTGAAAAAAAAAATTAAAAAAAAAAAGAAAACCAAAGCAGGAGGCATCACAATTCCAGACTTCAAGCTATATTACAAAGCTGTAATCATCAAGACGGTATGGTACTGGCACAAAAAAACGGCACATAGATCAATGGAACAGAGTAGAGAACCCACGAATGTACCCACAAATGTATGGCCAACTAATCCTTAGCAGAGCAGGAAAGAATATCCAATGGAAAAAAGACAGTCTCTTCAGCAAATGGTGTTGGGAAAACTGGACAGTGACACGCAGAAGAATGAACCTGGACCACTTTCTTACTACACAAAAATAAAATGGATGAAAGACCTAAATGTAAGACAAGAAACCATCAAAATCCTAGAGGAGAAAACAGGCAACAACCTCTTTGACTTTGGCTGCAGCAACTTCTTACTAGAAATATCTCTAGAGGCAAGGGAAACAAAAGCAAAAATGAACTACCGGGACCTCATCAAGGTAAAAGACTTCTGCATAGTGAAGGAGACAATCAGCAAAACTAAAAGGCAACCGATGGAATAGGAGAAGATATTTGCAAATGACATCGGATAAGGGTCAGTATCCAAAATCTATAAAGAACTTATCAAATTCAACATCCAAAGAACAAATGATCCAGTGAAGAAATGGGCAAAAGATATGAATAGACACTTTTCCAAAGAAGACATCCAGATGGCTAACAGACACATGAAAAAATGCTCAACATCACTCATCATCAGGGAAAAACAAATCAAAACCACAATGAGATACCACCTCAAACCTTTCAGAATGACTAACATTAACAACTCAGGAAACAACAG